TGTTCTCTTAAACCTTTTTTCCAGGCGATGAGCGAAGACGAGACCGAGACCCGCACGAAAATCACCGCAGAGCTTGTGAAGAAGAGTGACCAACTAGCTGTTTTCTGCACACCGCACTCGTTCGATTTCACCATATCGAAGAGCGCCAGCTTCTGCTCCGTGAAAGGAAAGAAATTCACCTGCTACGCTTTCATATTCACTGATTAGATTTGATTAGATAACGATCTCGAAAAATAAATTTCTACAGACTTATTTGTTGCCATTTCAATGAAAAGAAAAAGAATGAGTATGGCTTGACAAGAAAAATACTGAAGACTCAAATTATGTGCTTAAAAACTGTAGTATACCAAAAAAAATAAGCTTTGCGGTTAGGCATTTCATATCTCGCAGAACTTCTCCTGATGAGGTCAGGATAGTTCCAGAGCTTCCATAACCATCGAATTTCATCAGCTCGGTATGGTCTCATGCAGATTACGGTGTATTGGGACACTTGTAGATAGAGCTGTAATCAGCCATTTCTATAGTATTAAAAACAAGCCTTCTAGGGACATATGTAACATGGTCGGCATTACTTGATGTTTAGGTAGGTTCTCTAGGCATTTGAATTCTGGTAGCTTCATCACGAATAATGTATAGTATAAATCATTCAACAAAACCTACTACATCGTCTTGTTCTTGTTATTCTATCACCTCAACACCTGTTTAAAGAATAGACAAATTTGTATTTACGAAGTTCTTTTCATGTTGTTAATTCCGAGCATTCGAAGAGACTAAAATCGAACATTTGCAAGAACTGTCGAAATGATAAAGAACATAGTTATCCAGCCTTTTGGAAAGTTATAAAGTCTACAAGATCAATATGTCCTTGCTAGGGCGTTAGAAGAATTTAAGCGAACCAATTCGTTTTAGAACTTTTCGAACTCATAAATTGAATGCTTCTGCCTAAAGAAAGAGGATTTTGTTTTTGACACAATTCAGATTTAAGTGATCAACTATTTTTCTTACATCAATCAAAAGAATACTTTGTATTTGAAAGAGTGACTCTCCTATCTAAAAGAAATCATATTGACATACAGCATAAGATTGTCCTCTCCACTTGTGCGTCCATGTTGTGACTTAGTCGAGGTCAGGCAGTCAGGTTTCTGGAGAGAACTGGTTGCTCGAAAAACAAGCACTGATACAGTCTCGA